CAGGGGGCAGACACTCAATGCAGGAGATACCCCCTGGTGGTCAGTGCACTCCCACAGGGGGAGCACCGCTCAGCCAGAAGCCAGGCTCATGGCTGACGAGTGCAGTAGCAGTGGTGGAACCTCTCCCGCCTCTGCGACAGCACTAAGGATGTCCAACTGCCAGCTTAAGCCCATTCCCTGCCATCAGTCGGTCATCCCCCGAGGGGTCCTGGACTGTGAGGGGGCACAGGCCAGCCTGAGGGACAACCCAAGTGCACAAATTTTGTGCACCAGGCCTCTAGTATATATATTTTTTAATTGATTTCAGAGAGGAAAGGAGAAGGAGAGAGAAATAGAAACATCAATGATGAGAGAGAATCATTGATCAGCTGCCTCCTACATGCCCCACACTGGGGATCGAGCCCACAACCTGGGCATGTGCCCTGACTGGTAATCAAGTCATGACCTCCTAGGTCGACGCTCAACCACTGAGCCACACAGGGTGGGCTGGTTTAAGCAATTTAATTATGATATGCCTTGGTGTTTTTTCTATCATGTTTTTTGTGGTTGGTGTTCTTTATTTGTAGGTTTGTGTCTTTTATCAAATTTAGGGAGTATTCAGCAGCTGTTCTATAAATTTTTTTTCTGCACCCATCTCTTTCTCCTCTCTTTTTGAGACTGATGAGACAAATATTGATATTGTCCAAAAGGTCCCTGAGGCTCTGTTCATTTTTTCTAAAATTTTTTGGTTGCTTAATAATTCTTCTAATTAATAATTCTTAATTGACTTTTTTTGTCATCTTCATTCTGCTATTGAGTCTACCCATGACATTTTTATTTTATGTTTTTTTTTAGTTCTAAAATTTTCTCTTTTTTTAAATAGTTTGTATTTGTTTGCTGAGAACTTTTATTGTCCCATTCAAGAGTGCTCGCCTTTCCTTTTCTTATGGAGCACGGTTATAATCACTGCTTCCTAATTCCCACTTCTGCGCCTTTAGAGGTTGGCCCCTGTTGATTATCTTTTCCCATGACAATTGATCTGATTTTCCTGGTTCTTTGCACGTTCAATAATTTTTTTATTATATACTGGAATTTTGAATATTATGATGTGAGGCTCTGGTTTCTGTTAAATCCTCTGTAGAATATTAATTTTGCTGTTGTTCTTGTTCATTTGTTTTAGCTGGAAGTCAACCACTCCCTTAGGTTCAAACCTCAATTCTGTCTTTCTTTTTGAGGGTGGTGATTGCAATGTTGGCTCAATCTCCAAGTCTTTGGTTTGCTGCTTTGGGTCTGTTCTGAATATGCTCAACTTGGAGTGAGCTTGGGATGTGTTTTGGGTCATTAGCAATAATAGGGGACCCCCTCTCCCCTCTGGCTTTCTCTCCTTTTCCAGGATTTTTCTCACGTTCACTTTTTCCTTGTTGCTCCCTCTCCCTGTTCCTCTGACCAGGTAGATGATTTCTCTTGGGGAAACTGCCGGGTGGTTCTGTGTGATTGGGACCGCTTGTGGAGCAAAACAGCAATAGAAATGAGAGAGAGAAAATAATGGAGCTTGTCCTCACACAGTCTTTAGACCTGTTTCCCAGTTCCTCTAGGGCAGCGGTTCTCAACCTGTGGGTCGAGACCCCTTTGGGGGTCGAACGACCCTTTCACAGGGTCGCCTAAGACCATCGGAAAACACATATATAACTACATATTGTTTTTGTGATTAATCACTATGCTTTAATTATGTTCAATTTGTAACAATGAAATTGGGGGTCACCACAACATGAGGAACTGTATTAAAGGGTCGCGGCATTAGGAAGGTTGAGAACCACTGCTCTAGAGGGAGGGGGAGGTTTTCTCTCAGGGTTCCGGTGACCACACTGCTGTTGCCATTGCATCATGCAGCTCGATGGATCGGCGCTGGTCTTGGGCAGGCCAAGGAGAGAAAAAGAGGGAAAGTCAGTTGGGATTCCCAGCTTCTTCTTGAAGGCTCCTCTTCCCCATTCTTTGGCTTGAGGTTTCTCTTGAGATTTTTATATCTATATCCTCTACACCGTCCCAGGTCATCCTCAGTTTAACACCAAGCTATAGTGGAAGGTAAAAATCGAGGAAACTCTCCATGATTGTGGTTGTTTTTCACATTTTGACGTCTCACCCCTATAGTTTTGTACTTTATCCAGAGTTCCTAGTGGTGATCAGTAGGAGAGGGGCTGTGGTGGGCTTACTCCCTCTTGGCAGGCACCAGAACTGTCAAATGGTGTTTCTACTTGAGGGGCTCAGCTCCAGTTCCCATATACATTTACCTACATAGATCAACTTGTTCCTCAGTGGTACTTTTTAAATTTCTTCCCAGGAAATAAAGATATTTTCAGGATTGGGTTTATAAATTTTAATAAATGCTTTTTTTATTTCTAGTGCTTTACGTCAGAAGTCAAATGAGAAACCACTCAGATTGGCTGAGAAGAAAGAATACAATGAGAAGAATGGCTGTGTAAAGTATGAATTTTTTTCTTGGCCTAAATTTTTTATTGAAATAATTATGATAAAATTATAAGCAGGAAGAATTTACATATGATTTTATTATAAATTTCAAATCTTTGTTCCCATTTAAAAATATACATACAATGGCTTCTTTAGGCTTTGAAGTTAGTTTTTTCTTTTACGTAAGGTATATTTTTCTGTTTAAAGTTCTCTTCCACTATAAATATACATTTCCTATCTCACCTTCTTGATTTTCTTTGGTGAAGTGAACAAAATAAATTAGATATAGTTGATCTTTTGGGGCTGTTGTTTTTATATGGGTTGGTGTTTGCTTTCTTTCCAGTTTTGTTATGTTAAATAGGTTTATCACTGGCTCGAGAAACTGTTTAATTATTTGCAGTGTGGAACTGGGGATCTTTTTTTCTTTGTCCTGCCAGATTCACAAAGTATTTACTTACAAGTTGTTCACAGTAGAGTAATAACTTCATTTTACACTTGTTTAATGCACAGAATATTTTCATACTTTCTTTTAAGACTTCTTACAACACCAGCCTAAAAACACTCTCACAGCCCTGGCCAGTGTGGCTTAGTTGGTTGGCGAGTATCCTGTACACCTAAAGATCACAGATTTGATTCCCAGTCAGGGCACATTCCCAGGTTGCGGGTTCGATCCCCTGTCAGGATCCATGTGGGATCCAGTCTATATTGATGTTTCTCTCTTTCCCTCCCTCCCTCTCTAAAATCAATGGAAAAAATAAAATAAAACCACTCTCACATTTCAAGTACTGCAGCTGCTCTGAAGCTACCAGAGTGACAAAGTTTAAGAGAGTTCAGAAATGGGTACAGGTCATGCTGTTCGCTAATTAGCTTGAGATGGCTGGGGCGAGGTGTTGACTGTGGAAGTCCTTCAGGCTCCCAGCTTCCCAGAGGCCACCCTGTGGGGTGTGCGTCCTCATCCAGCAGAAGCTACGCAGGGTGTTTCAGGGCCAGGAGCTCTGAGGCAGCCATGGAGCCCGCAGATCTGGAGCGACACCTGGATTGACATCCGCCTCCCTAACACCTGAAAGCTGTGGTGTCACAGTGGGCGCTTTCCGTGGAACAAAAGACCTTGCGTTGCTCATGTAACTCATTTCTTTCTTTTGTTATACTGAGACAGCTCCATTGCCTGATACTTTTTTATTAGAAGGTTGTATCTGACCTCTGTTTGGCTGAGTGCCCTTTACTTAGAACCCACTGATTGCACTTCATCCGTCCACTGTGGGTTCCAGGGAGTTGGAGGTGTTCAGGATTCAACAGCAAAGAAGGAAGGAGACGGTGGATAGTTTAGACTGTGATGACCTGGGGATCATGCAGTCTTTCTCCTGGTTCACAGCAGGTGGCCTGGGGTTGGCAGTTCTGTGTCCACAGCCTGAGGCCCAGGGTGGGGCTGGTGGGAGCGTGGGACCGCCTTGACCACAGTGGCCTTTGTACCACAGTGAACAGGCAAAGCAGAACAAGTTTACCTCTGCCAAAGAAGAATTAGAATAATAACTCAAGAAAAAGACACAATTTTTTCCCTTCAAATTGTCTTTTTAACTATTTTACAGATTATTGCAGTTTTTAAATCCTGATCCTTTGAGAGCTGATGGAATCTCTGATCTGCAACAGGTATTACAACTCTAAAAAAAAGTGAAAAAAGAAAGAAAACTACTTTTTAAATCCCTCTCCTTCCTCCCTCTATACTTGAGATTAGAAGAGAAACCCCTTCAGTTGGAGACTATCTGAAGACATCCTTTTAGGAATTGTCTAGTGAGTCAGTGTTTTAGAGAAATAGTTCTTGGGAGTGGGGATACTAGAAGATCTTCCTTTCATTTTGGTAGTTTTGATGTTTTTGATAAGCATATACACCTAGGTTTTTACATTGAAATCAAACTCTTGTCTTTTCTCATGTCCATAAAGTTCTTGGTGTTCCGTGCTGACACCGCAGGCAGACTGTCTGACGTGTGTGTCCTCTAGTTGCAGAAGCTGAAGGCGGGCGCGCAGCAGGCCTCTGCGGTGCTCCGGAACAAGATTGAGCCTTGCTTGTCCATCGACACGGCGCCGCTTTCGGCAGACCTGAAAAAGGTAAAAGTGCTCCTGAAACCAAACTCGAGGAGGAGTACTGACCTGCCCGAAGGTGGAAGGATTTTTAATAAAAGCTTCTACTGAACTTGCATTTGTATAATTTCTTTGCTTTTGAAATTCTCTTATAAGCCTCTGTTACTAATTTCTTATTTATTCTTAAGTCCAGGCTAACTTCTTACAAGTGACTAATTCTTTTATGGAGAAACCATGTGTAACTGTAAGTGCTTTTCTGAAATAAGTTCTCAAAAGTGCCTGTGGAAAGGACTTGGAAGAAATGAGTTGCTAGGATGGTTATGATATATGTCTTAGCAAAATTGCTTTATAGACCTTTGTTTTACGTAGTAAATTGATCATACATGTTTACTTCCTTTTTGGATAAAAAAAAAGTTTTAAAATATTTTTTTAAAGAATAAAACCCCAAGGGCGACTAGAATGAGAGCGAAGTCTTTGGTGGACAAGAGCTTTCCACAGGCTCCGGGCTGCAGGGTGTGGCCGACACCCCGAGGGAGGAGTGAAGTGGGTGGGGGCCGTGAGCTTCCCCACCCTGTTTCCTAAACATCCAGAGCCAGTTGCTCAGGAAGGAGAAGGAAGGGTCCTTCTGGAGAAACTGAATGGCTCTAGAGAATGACCTTTAGATGATGCTGTTTGGGATTCTCCCACTAAAAACATGTGCTTGCTGCCCCGTGTTCCGCGGTGATGTGGCTCGCACGTGGTGCTGAGCTTTGCTCCGCCCTCAGGTGAGTGTCAGGGATGGTTAGGTGTTTGAGGAAAGCCCTCACCCAAGGGAAAAAAGTAAGACCCAAGCAAACTGATGTAAATAAACCGTGTAGAGAATAGAAGAAAACATTAGAAAATAAATATCCTTAGAAATAAGGTATATATTGTATGTATTTGACAATAACAGGGCACTATAGAAAAGGAACAGAGAATAAAAAATAGGTTTTTAGAAATTCATACTGTTGTAGAAATAAAAATCAGTAGTTGATTTGAGAGATAAAAGCTAATAATCAGAAAGTAGAACAAAAGACTAAGAGATGGAAATAGGGAGGAAAAGAGAAATTGAGTGTCAACTTGAGGTCCAATATCTGAAATGGAATTTCCAGAAAGAAAGGGGGGAAGAGGGCAGACAGTTCTAACAGTAACACATGAATAATTTCTAGACTCAGTGGATATGACTTCCTGAGTTAAGGAAGTTTACCTACCACAGGCCCAGCACAACGGAGGAACAAGATAGTAGATTTTGCGAAGCATCTAAACTGGAGGGATTCAGAGACCATGAAGGATTCCTGGGAGAAGAATCTGGTCCCACACGCAGGATAGGAATCGGAATGGCTGCAGACTTCACGTAACACCAGAGGAGCACTGACTCCAAAGTTCTAAGTTATTTCTAGCCTAGAGGTCTATCAACGAAGTGTGAGGGGGAATGAAGACATTTTCAGATGTGCAAAGCCTCACATGTACTTCCTCTGCACCCTTTGTCAAGAAGCAACTGAAATATGTTCACCAACACAAGAAAGTGAAGAAGACAGCGTGTGCTGCAGACAAGGGGGATGGTGCAGGGAGACCCCAGGATGGCAGCTGCACACCAGGTGCAGAGTGGAGTCAGCCCTGATTGCAGTGGGCTCAGGGCCTGGGAGCAGGACTTCATGGAGATAACTGATGAGATCAGCCTTTTGGAAAATAGTATCAATGTGGCTGGAGAACTCGGGACATTTGGGAGGTTTTAGTAACAGTCATATAGAAAATAAGCAAATAAAGGCATGTTTTTAAAAAGATTGACAAGTGAAGTTGATGCATCGTCAGATTTAGACAAGAAGCCATATCCTTGTGCTGGAGAGCTTTAAGCACCTGGGTGGTCAGTTGGATCCTTTAATTTGGAGCCTAGAAAAGCAAGAATCTTCTAGCAGGACTTGGTTCTAGAAAAGATTCAGTGGAAAATGCCAGAATGAGCAATGTATACATGTTGTTGGGGTAAATGAGCAATGAGATGGGTTTTCATTAGTTTATTGTGGTTTTTGGTTGTTATTGATGTTTTGTAGGCTCTTCAAAGAAATAAGTTTCTGGGACCTAGCCACACTGAATCTTACTCTTGGCCTCCCATAGCACGTGGCTGTGATGTGGTTGTCATTTCTCAGTGTGGAAATGACCCTTTGTTGTACCTTCCACCAGTGCTTACGCTTTTGCAAACAGGGGGCTGCTACAAGTCATTACCAAGTAGAAACGGAGTAAGTTGACAATTTTGTTTCACAACAAAATGGATTAAATATTTCTTTTAAAATTTACACCTAACTTTAGTAAAATTTACGTTACATTATTCATTTGGTGTTCTAACTGTCGGGACAGAAACTGTCCCATGAGAAACTTTTATCTGATCACAGTCATCTCTCACTATTCTCACCTTTGACCTCCCAGTTGTGGGCAATCTGCTGAGTCAAGAGACAAATCTGCTTTTAGAGACAAATACATAGTTTATAAAAAGTATTTCACTGATTATCTAGTTGGCCTGGCTACCCTATGAGATGGTCAGACCATGTGTTCTTTTCACCAGTATTACAGATGAGAAAATTAAATTAATGGGAAGTTACTGGTTTAAATTCTTAACAGCTGGCAAGTGTGACAAGAAGTGAGCTTAGAATGTAGGTTTTCTGTCATCGTCTCATATTCTTTCAAATATTTTCATAGCACCCCCACACTTTTATAAACCTACTTTGTTTTTCCCATGTGTCAGAATCTGAAGATAGCTGAGAAAAATGATGGCGAGGAGAGAAATGGGGTGTGAGGATCAGATATTTGATAGTGGGGTAGTGACATCTGCTTTGCTGGGTGTGGCCTTTGTCTCAGATCCTATCCCAAAGGACACCCTGCAAATTGTTCTGCCCCTCATTACAAGGTGAGAAATAGCAGTATGAAAAGACACTTAGAATTGCGATTTAGAAAAGATGACAGTTTATTTTTCGAATTATGCTGGGTAGTGTAATGATTTTCCTTTGGAAATCTGCATTGGCTAAGTTATTATGTATTTAATAAAACTAAATGGATACATTTATATCCATCAGTCAGTTAGTAGCTGACCGCGTTGATGAGATGCAGCCTGTGTGGAGATAGAACCCTGGCTGGGCCAGGAAGGGGTGTCCAGGTGTAGTCTCTTGTGTCCACTCTGCTGCCTCTGCATGTCCATGGTCAGCCTGCTTCTAGGCTGACACCTGGAAGCTGGCGCTCGCCGGGACCTGTGTGAAGGAAAGCCGTCTCCTCTTGTCTTCAGTTAGTGGGGGCAGGCTGTGCGCCTTCAGGGGATATCTGTGGCAGAGTGGAGGGCAGGGTTCAGATGGTGCTATAGGAAACACAGTCACCTAAGGAAGAGATGTTAACCTTTTTAAAGGCCCCTTTCAGGAAGCGGTTAGTTCACCCTTACGCTGAGGAGCAGGAGCTGTAGAGCCAGATTGCCTGGCTTCAGATCTTGTTGCTACCATGTGTCAGCTGTGCAGCCTTGGGCAACTGACTTCCCCTCTCTGTGCCACAGACGCCGCCTCTGTGAAATGACGTAGCGATAGGTTCTGTCCTGTAGGAGTGTTTTAAGGACTAAGGGGATTAATACTTGTGAAGTGCTTAGTTTAAGCCCTAGCAAAGTCTGAGCCAATGTGTCTCAATCCTTTTTGATGAAATTAGAGTTTAACTTTTCTGACCTATGTGATGATGATAAAAATGTATATAGTGCTTACTCTGGACAAAGAGTCCACATGCTTCACAGATAATGTGTCTGATTCCTAACTTTTGTTCAAAATTATGTGGATTTGTTTGTCTTTGCAGCCTCTGGCAGTCATCGTGTGTCCTGGGTGGAAAAAGGCCCAATTTATTTTTGAGTTATTGGGAGTCTATGGCGTGTCCTCCAGGCCTCTTCATCCTATGTTATTAACAATTGGACTCCACAAAGATGAAGCCAAAAATATGAAGCTTCCAAGGGGGTGTAAGCATCCTTCCAAGCTGTTTGGTTTTCCCTACGGAACACAGGGGAACCCGCCCAGCAGGCCGGGAGCTGCAGGTGTCAGGAGCTGAGAGATGCAGCTGGTGGTCACTAGCTCAGACCGGCCCTCTCAGTTCCGATGGGTATAGATGATGAAGGTTTATCTTGGCTTATCTCTGTGAGAAAAAGAGAAAACTATGTGATTTCATTCATTTATGAACTACCTGCTGACGCCTCCTGTTTGTTAGATGTTGACTAAACGCTCCCTGTCTTTTAGTTGTGCAGAACGTGATGGGAGCCCAGGTAGTTAATCCGATAATGAGCGGGGTTAGCTGGGCAGGTAAACTTCTTGCCTCACCCACCTGAGTAAGAAAAACAGCTTTTTGTTTTGTTAGAAGGCATCTCTAGAAAGTATGTGGAATCTTAGGAAAGGAAATGTTAGAAAAACCTGCGGAAAATCTAAAATGTTAATTTTTTTTTCTTTTAAAATATAGGTGATGTAATGGTTACAACACCACATAGCCTCCTGAGACTTCTCAGATATCAAAGCTTGTTATTTCTTAGACTCTGTCACCTCATTTTGGATGAGGTGGAAGTATTATTCTTTGAAGCTAATGAACAAGTAAGTAAGGCATCCATTTAGATATTACTACTCAAATATATAAAATTAAAGTGTTCATTGTTTTTAGGGTTCAAGAAGAGTGTCTATTTGTGGTAGAAGCTGGTTAATTTAAAATTTTTTCTCTTTAATTTCTATGATTAAGAAGAGAGAATTTTTTTCTGAAATTTTCTTACCAGTGTTCTATTTGAAAAGCAAAACTATGGAGGTTTTCGAAATTATTTAATATTTTTCTGATTATAAAAGCAATTTTTATATTAGAAATTTGAGAAAATAGAGGAGAGCACTTGAAAACATCCATAATCTTACACTCAGGAAATCACTATCACTATTCTGGGGTAGTTCTTTCTTTTTTGTAATTCCTCGTCATAGGAATTAATATCAGTACCTTTCTGTGGTAGTTTATAAGTTGCATTTTTTAGTAAATAGCATTGTATTGTTACTATTCTACAGTGTGATTGTTACTTGCCATATGATACTGAATTCTATGGACATAACATAATTTATTTTATAATTGTCTTATTTTTAGACATTTAACATTGTGTGTGTATGTGTGTGTGTGTGTGTGTGTGGCTTCAGAACATAATACATCTTTTTAGCACATTTCCCATAGAGTAAATTCCTACAAAGGGGATTAATGGATCAAAGACTGAATTCTTATAAGACATTTGTTGGAAGCAGTGTAACATGATGACCAAGAGCAGTCATTTGGGAGCAGTGATGGCCTCAGGTTCAAGTCCAAGCTTTAGATACTGACTCTGTCGGTCTTCACAGGGTTTCTGAATGCCTCTAGAATCTCAATTCTTATTTGCAAAACTAATATCCAGAAGACTGCCTTGTACAGTCGCCTTTCTGGAAGCAATTTACACTCCCTTAGGCACCGTGCCGCCACGCTGCCCTCCCTGCACCCCTGGCAGTGGGAGGCCTCAGTTCAGCTTCCTTTTCTAGTCTGTTTTGTAATATGGCATCTGATTAGTTTAATCTGTATTTCCTTATTTACTTGTTAAGTTGAGCATGAATTCATACTGGCCATTTGTACTCATTCTTCTATGAATTGCTTGTTTATTATTTTCTGTTGGTGGGATTGTCTTTTTTAATCAGTTTGTAGAAGTTTTTATATAAGGATGTTAATCCTTTGGTACATATGTTACACATATTTACCCAGATGTTAATGTTTTAATTTTGTTTGCACCTAGCATTTTTTCCTTTTTTGTTACTTTTATGTTTGTAAAGGCCTTCTCCACTCTGAAAACAGAAAATATACAATCCTTCACCTTTTACGTTTTGTCAAACTAATCTCTTTTGAAATAAAAATTAAATTATACTAATTTTTTAGATGTTTGCTATATTAGATAACTTTAAAAAAAATATTGAAGTTGAAGAAAGGGAATCTGCACCACATCAAATTGTTGCAGTTGGAGTTCATTGGAACAGACATATACAGCATTTAATCAAAGAGTTCATGAATGACCCCTACATCGTGATCACTGCCATGGAAGAGGCTGCTCTCTACGGTGGTGTCCAACAGGTAATGAGTCATGGGGGTGTGGTGGGGTGCTAATGAATGTGTCATGACTTAATATTAAAAGACCAGAGTCCCGGTGCACGAAATTCGTGCACGGGTAGGGTCCCTAGGCCTGGCTGGCAATCAGGACAGATCGGGGCCTTCCTTCCCCTGGCTGCCAGCCAGAGCCTTCCTTCGTTCCACCCCGCCCCCTGGTGGTCAGTGCACGCCATAGCGAGCTTTTGAACTCCTGGTCGGTCGAACTCCTGAGGGGACAATTTGCATATTAGCCTTTTATTATATAGGATTATAGCTTTAATGTCATCAGCAAATCTGTAATTGGGAAGTTAAATTTATGTTGGTTTCCTACACATCCTTTTGTATTAAAATCATAACTTGCCTAAGTAAAGTAAAACTGGAGCACCTTAAACATTTAAAAAATCACATTGTTTCTGTATTTCCTTACTAGGTGGTACATCTTTGCCTAGAAAGTGAAAAAACCTCTACTTTACTCCAGACTCTTGACTTCATTCCAAGTCAGGCACAGAAGACCTTGATCTTCACCTGTTCTGTAGCTGAAACTGAAATAGTGTGTAAGGTGAGCCTTTCCACACATAAAATGTTCTTGCTGTTTGTTTAAACTGTAATTGGATCTCGAGTCATCAGAATTATTGAGTAAATATTTGACGGGAATAAAAGTTTACAAGTTCAGCATCCATCAGAATGGGTTCTGTTGCAAAATGAAAAAGGGTAGCAGGCCCGGTGGAGAGGCTGAGGTCATCATCGGATTTGAAATATTTAAAGTGGATCAGCAATGCAGACAATTAAGTGCGTTGTTGTGGGCAATGGTGCTGTTGGTAAAACATGCCTTCTGATATCCTACACAGCAAACACATTTCCATCTGAGTATGTACCCACTGTTTTTGACAACTATGCAGTCACAGTTATGATTGGTGGAGAGCCATATACTCGGACTTTTTGACACTGCAGGGCAAGAGGATTGTGACAGATTACGACCGCTGAGTTATCCACAAACAGATGTATTTCTAGTCTGTTTTTCAGTGGTCTCTCCATCCTCATTTGGAAATGTGAAAGAAAAGTGGGTGCCTGAGATAACTCACCACTGTCCAAAGACTCCTTTCTTGCTTGTTGGGACCCAGATTGATCTCAGAGATGACCCCTCTCCGATTGAGAAACTTGCCAAGAACAAACAGAAACCTATCACTCCAGAGACTGCTGAAAAGCTGGCCCGTGACCTGAAGGCTGTCAAGTATGTGGCGTGTTCTGCACTCACACAGAAAGGCCTAAAGAATGTATTTGACGAAGCAGTATTGGCTGCCCTGGAGCCTCCAGAACTGAAGAAGAGCCGCAGGTGTGTGCTGCCACAAACATCTCTCCAGAGCCCTTTCTGCACAGCTGGTTTCGGCATCATACTAAAAGCAATGTTTAAATCAAACTAAAGGTTAAAAATTAAAATTCGTTTTTGCAGTAATGACAAATGCCCTGCACCTACCCACATGCACTCGTGTGAAACAAGGCCCACAGATAAGGTCCCTTTCCCCTCTCAATACTGGTTAATTTTGAGTAATTGTGTATTGTCAGAAAAGTGATCAGTACTAGTTTTTGTTTTGTTTAAAAGCAAGGCATGCTTATGATGACTCTGTAACAGACTAATTTAGGTTGTTGAAGCTGCTCCCGGCTTCCACTCTGGAGAGTGATCTGAGACATCTAGTTTTGTTTTTTGTTTGTTTGGGTTTTTTTTTTGCGGTGGGAGGGGAGGGGTGTGTGTGTGGAATTCGTTTTTATTTAGTCATTTAAAAAAAATTCGTTAACCATTGGACAGCCCTTTAGGTGAGGAGGATGGAGTGATTCCATATTCTACTTCCTAGATCTAGTTTAGAAAACATGTTCCCCACCGGTGCTCTTAGGAAGGAGTATAGTAAACGCCTCATTTAGTAACACACTCCTTTTTGAAAGTTGCCTTTTCTCTCCACCCTTGAGTAGGTTCAGTATTTGATGAAACTCATGAAAGTGGGTGGCACCTGTCTTGCCCCTCCTCTTTTCTAGGATGCACTATATATGTGACTGACTTTCAAGGAAATTTGTTAGCCATTTGCTGATTTTTTTTTTTAAGTTAATGTCTAACTTCTTTCACTGATAAATGAAGAAAATATTGCACCTTTTGAAATATACCAAATAGATTAAGTACACAATTAAAAAAACATTTTTTCCTTGTCAGTCATTGTTTTATATGCTTAGCATAGATGTGCAGCTTAATAGTGTATGATATGGTGTTCCTAGAACACAGCTGAAGACCTGGTATATAGGAGGGGTGCTAGAAGACAGATGTCTGTGGGATGATTCACATCCTCTTCAAGTTATGAGGATGGAGACCTGCTTCATTAAGAAGCTAGGGGTGGGGTGGGGGTGGGGAGAACATTTAACAGCATGGGGACCAGTCAGGGGAATCCCCTTTCTGTTTTGCATGAGGAACCCTAGAGCAGCCAGTTGAGGCTCTAGTTTAATAAAAACCATGGAGAGAGTCTTATGAAGACTCTTCTTAAATATTAATAGGGATTTTATCAGCTTATTTTGGTTGCAGTTTCCAACATTGTTAAACATGTTTAGGTAATATTCTCCACCCTCCCCAAATCCTAATTCTTGTAGTTTCATTAGTGTTGAACCAATGCTTTCTCGTGTCTCAATTCTTTGTATATGCATTCTTTTCAGATGTATTAAACAAACAAAAAACCCTTCAAAAAAAAAAAAAAGAAAGAAAAGAAAAAGGGTGGCAGGAGGCCTGCCGCTGAGGGGAGGGGCCGAGTAGATGGGGCGGCCTTTCCTCTGAGGCAAACGTTCCCCAGGAGGGTAGGGCTTTCTATTTTGTCTCGGCAGAGCATTCGAAGGATCCGATTCACGAAGTGCCAACGTCTTCTGTACCCTCTATTTAAGAAAATAGAGAAAATTAATACTAAATATACATTATGTAGCCAGAAAAGTCAAATAAATTGGCTAAAGATTTATTTAATCTAATTGTGTATAAATTAACGCTAAAATGTAGAAACGAGGCCAAATACAAAATAAAATAATCAGTAGTACATTACATTAGAGCAATAATGAACTAGCAGGTGATGTTAAAAAGCTCCCGTTGAGCCTGGCCAGTGTGGCTCGGGGTTGAGCATCCACCTATGAACGAGGAGGTCATGGTGCGAGTGAATGTTGCAGACTTGATCCCCAGTAGGGGAGAAGGGGCCAGCTGATCAGTGATTCTCTGTCATCATTGATGTTTCTGTCTCTCCCTCTCCCTTCCTCTCTGAAATCAGTCTATAATAATAAAAGTGTAATATGCTAATTAGACTGGATGTCCTTCCAGACGACCTTCCGGATGAAGCCAGGGCTTCAAGGGAAGCCTGGGTCCCGAGTGCCAGAGGGAAGCTGGTGCTGGCAGCCCGGGGAAGGAAGGCCTACTCTTGCATGAATTTCATGCATTGGGCCTCTAGTAAAATATATTTTTTAAAAAAGCTCCTGTTGATAATAGTGCCATAAATTTGGTGTATACATATAGGAACACAGTTAACTCTCAAACAGCACAACCCGAAACACCAAACCGGTTTGAAGTGCATGGGTCAACTTATAAATGTTTGTTTTTTCTTTTTAAATTTATCTTTATTGTTGAAAGTATTACAGATGGCCCCTTTGTTTTTGTTTTTCTTTTCCCATTGATCCCCTTCCCCCCACACCC